TACTCTGATAATACTTTTCTATGGCATGATTTAGTTATTTGAAATATCGGTTTTTTATTACGAAATGAGTTAACAATAACACTATGGATGTTTCAGATTACTGGTTTTATACTTAATTAAAAATGAAAATTTTGGCTATAAATTTTGGGATGTTACAAGTTGGTATCAGAGCCTTGGTTTGAGGGATTCGGACACACCTTTGGGGTTTCTGGACTCAAATCGAGGATTTGAAAGATTTTTACAAGAAAATAATTTTTCTAAAATTTAAAATAAAGAGTATTTTATAAAGAACAAGGAGTGTGATGCGTGCAATCGGTCGAGCTTAAGTAAATTTTCCCAATATACCATACATGTTTGTTATTATTATATGATATGATTTGCATGCTAGATTAAAGCTAAGTATCTAGGATAGGTGCCTTTGTATGCTTGTATGAGCTTGTAGATTTGCATGTTATAACTGATCAGCCAGTGGTAAGATAGCCTGTTTAGGTTATGCCTGATTGTATGAGCCTTTGAATTGCATATACAGATTCCTGATTGAGGATAAAATGGTTTAATTGGAGTATGTTGGTTAGATTTTCCATTGTCAAAATGCTCCTTGCTTTGTGCTTTATGGGACTCTTAGTGATGGGAGTTAGCTACTGAGTGAATATGATAAGTCACATGGGACACAAGCCAAATAATCTCAGAGTGATGGACTTGACCCTATTACGCAACTTTTGTCTAGGTCCAACAATTATAGGGATGTGTCTTTTACTCGAAGGATTATCTAATCTTTGTTGCATGTGGCTATATTCATGAGGTATCTAGTTGACATTATTGGGAATCTTTCAGCAGTTGAGAACTAAGTGGGTTCGGGAACCTAGGAAAGCCTAGGATATGCTTCAATGGTTAATAATAAGGTTTAGTGAGACTTGGGTGCATCAGTTTGAGGAAGTGACTTGGAGGATTTGGGAGGATTGCTGAGGAAAGTATGGATAGGTGTGGAAGGTAGTGTTATGCCAATACTACTGAAAGCACACGATCCATACTCGAATCAGTGAGAGTCTTGGAGAATCTGAGAAGCTTCGGGGAGGAGAATCCTTGAGTATGTCTTGATCATTGGTTTTGATGGTTTTTCAGTTTAGAGATGAGCACTCGAAGAGATGGTACTGGTTCAAGATTAGGTATCGGCTTAGGTGGTAAGCCAATCGAGGGAAGGACTACCAATGTTTTGAGTTCGCGTTGGATTGAGGAGATGGAAGGTGTTTTCCGCACTAGTCCCTACTACATAGGAACCAAGGTTCAGTTCGCCTTGGATCTCTTGTACCGGGGGGCAAGGACTTGATGGGAATTAATTGCGTGATCTATTGCGCTTTCTGAATTGGAGATTATGTCTTGGGAAGAGTTTGTGACCCGGTTTGAGGCAGAGGATGTTCCAGCTGTTGTAGTTCAGCCATTAGCAAGTGAGCTAGTGAGTATGACAGGGTGTCATACCCTGAAGGATATGACTTCCAGAGTTCGAGGATGCGAGATCAATTTGGAGCACCTTGGGAAGAAAGGGTCATGCCAGGTACGTATAGTAGAGGGTCCCGGGAAGAGATCCATGACTTCTGATCGTCAGGTGAAAGGCCAGTAGGGCCGGAGTCAGTGCAACACATGCGGTAAAGTGCACAGGGGAGTTTTCCATTCCAAGGTTTTAGGCTGCTAAAAGTATGGCAGGGTTGGCCACGTCAGCAAGGATTGTCCTCAGAGGGCAAGCCCATTATGCTTTTGTTTGTAATCGGGTGGGTCATAAGAAGGCCAAATGTCCAACGATGAGGAGAGGATAAGTGAGCGCGCCTGCCCCAGACACTTTGAGGATCACTGACGGGCAAGAGGGTAAAGCAGGAGCCCAAACAAAGAGGAGTCGGACTTATAGTGACATGCACGAGAGATCACGATTACAAAAGGCGACGTTGCGGGTATATACCTGTTGCTCTTATCAGTTCCATCCGTATTTGTGGTTATTTTCTTGCATCAGATTTGGGTAAGTATATACTTCTTGTGTTTGGATTGTATTTTCAAGAAATGTCATATGCCAATTGCATACCATGAAATACTAAGTAATTAATGAAAGGTTGTTTTTCGTGTTGCTAGTTATGGGGTGTTCAGTGTTATCTCGGTTCGTAGTAGAGATTTGTCAGGGGCATTATGGGAGGATATGTGATTAGTGTCTGTAGGATGATTATTCTGCATCGTCAAAATTCAGTGGTTTTGGTAACCGTTATTGATTGGTCATTAGGAGCACCAAGGGAAGTGGCTTGTTGCTAAGGTATTGGTTGGAGCATCTGTCGTTAGGCTTTAGGATTTGAGTGCGGTATAATTTCAAGCATCAGGGGCAATCAATCTAGTGAATTTGGTTTTGTGTTAATTAATTAAAAAATTTAATTTTAATTTTGGTTCATGTTGGCCACTTGAATTAGGGTTAGATCATCCAAGTTATTTGATTTACAAAATCCATAATTGTTCTGTGAATTAAAACAAGTAACAAACATTAATTTGATTTCCATTGAATGATTTTAATGTAAACCAAAATCACACATTCTTACGCCCCCAAGCTTGTGAGGAGTATTGGATGTTGTTGGGAACATTCACACAAAACTTAGTGCAATCTTTTAGTTTAATTTTAAGAGCTTGTTTAAATTATATTAGAAGGGTTAGGTTTAATTCAAAGAACTTGTTTTGGTTAAACAATTTGGTGAATGGGAAGTGTTAGAGCTCGTTAATGTTTCCAAGTACCAACTTAGATTAGAATTCAATTTGACATCAATCATTATTAGCCTGCATCATTAGGAAAATAGAACTCAAAACCGGATCGTTTTTAATTTTGTTTCTTGTATTTCTTTTACCATATTTCAATTTAGTTTTATTCGTTTTTAATATCCTCATCCGTATTTACTTTTTATGCAATAGGAATAAAAACATGATTATTTTGGTGTATTTATGGATTAAAACCGAGTCTTTGAGGATCGATCCTGTTTGCTACTATTACTATTATTTATAAATCATACGAGTACAAATAAGATTTATTTGTTTGATAGATTCGACACCCATCATGGTTGCATTGGAGCTTGTAGATCCAGACTTTGTTCACCTTGATCTTTCTTCTAAAGGTGACTTGTAGAGCTGACTGTCAGAGCAGAGATTCATTCATATTGTTTTCAAGCTGGGATGTGAGTTTTCCTCACTACACTTACAGGCCGAAGGCACCAATGGCAACCCATTGGATTGATATGCTGGTTTACCATATGTTTCTATGTTGCAGTGATATGTTAGATTTGTATATTGGTATATAGGATGTTGTTATGCTGTAGTGATATGTTAGATATGTATCCTGGTATATAGGATGTTGTTATGTTGTAGTGATCTATTAGATCTGTATGACTATCGTATCTGCTAGCTATTGACTGTTATGGTGAGATGTGAGTTTTCCTCACTGCACTTACGGGTCGAAGGCACCAAGGCCGACCCATTGGATTGATATCCTGGTTTACTGTATGTTGCTATGTTGTAGTGATATGTTAGATCTGTATCCTGATATATATATATATATATATATATATATATATATATATGATGTTGTTATGTTGTAGTGATCTGTTAGATCTGTATCGTGGTATATAGAATGTTGTTATGATGTAGCTATTGACTGTTATGGTTTGTTGGGTTGAGGTGGTCTTGCTTTGTGCTGAATACCAAGACACCAAGGGCGGTCCGGATAGACTGAAGGCCTGCGAGGCGGTCGAGTTAGGCCGAAGGCCCAGAGAGCGGTCCAGATAGGCTGTAGGCCCGGTGTGGCAGTGCAGTCATGTTAAAGGCTTTAAGAGCGATCCAGATAGTCTGTAGGCCTGCGAGGTGGTCCAGTCATGCTGAAGGCTCACATCTGCATGTTATTGTTATTATGTCATGTGTTGGTACTTTGGGGGAAACTCAATAGGCTTCGTGGTTACGGTTTTGGTTTATTGTTTTCAGGTACTCCAGATGATTGTGGGAAAATGAAGCCATGATCGTGCAGATCTTCCTGTATTTATGACATCGGATCTTAGGATACTCTGAGTTTGAATAATACTTTTGAAACATTGGTTTTATAAACACTTTATGGAAGAAATGAGTTGTTTTGAAAAGTTAAATTTTATTGTGATTTTTGGATGTTACATACAAGTAGTAGTGCATAAAATAAACACACCACTAAAAAATCTAAAAATCACATAAGAGTTTATTTATTTAACTTTTTCAAAATTCATAAAAGATACAAGTATTTTGTAGTCAAATTGTCTGAATTTGTAGTCAATATGTATGAACTTGGGATCAAAAGTGGCAATCCATGATAATGATGATATTTAGAAAATTAAAAATTTGAAAAATTACCCTACTTTGTAGCTAAACAAACATAAAACATGACTACTTGACCTCCAAATTTGAAGTGTGATAAAACACAATGAACAAAATTCACATAAAACGGACTTGGTATGAAAAGTTATAGATGTTCAAAGTTGTTATTGTTTCATATTTTTCACCGATGAACTTAAAAGTATGATTTTTTGATTTCCAAATTAGATGTGAGATATGTTCATGGATCGATCTTTTTACTAACACAATAAGAAATAAAAAAATCAATACGAACAAACTTTATATGAAAAAGTTATACAAAGTTTGGAAAAAAAAACTAATTTTTTCATATGTGATGTAGGACAAACCATATAAATTATTGCAGATTTACGTGTATATATATATATATGACTTACCAAAATTATGACTATTTTAAGCATTTTCTATTTTTGGCTATTTTACAGAACTTAAAAAAAAAAAAAAAAAAAAAAACTATCATAATCATTTTCCTAAAAATAATTTCCAAGTAATATCCACTCCAATATTAATCATTTTATTAAACGAATTAACTTTTAAAAGTAGGGTATTGGTCAAAAGTCAAAACAACACAATTATAGTATTGTACGGTTGTCAGCAGCCCAAAACAAGATGGTTGGGCCTCGAACGTAACGGAAGAAGATTACAGATTACTGCACATACAGTCCAACCACTTCCACCTGTTATAATTTCGTCTTCTTCCTCCCTTCTTCTTTCAACTTCATCTTCACAACCCCACTTTGAATTCGATCACAACTGCAACTCCCAGAGCCTCACCGGCTTCAATGGCTGCCTGTAAGTCCCCCTCTTTATGCTATGGCGTTCACGTTTCAACCCTAAATCGATTGTGCATTTTCACACAAAGTCATTTGTTGGCACTTTGAGTTATTTTCTAGGGTTCTATGTTCACAATTGGATTGATTATAAGGCGTGCATTATGATGTAGCTCGAGATTTTGATCGTGCATTTGAATTTTTGTCACCAGGTAGCTTTGGGGCTTCAAGTTTGAGAATTCACAAGGGTCCTGCTATTATCGAATCAACTAATTCACAAAAGAATTCGCATGTTGTAAGGCTCTCAAATTCGCCGAAGTTTGATGGTTTAGTGTTATCACAACGTTCAAGGAAGGCATTCAATCGGTGTCTTTGTTTGCCTACCAAGAACGCCCAATGTAAGAAATTTCCTTTCAATCGTTTGTTTATACATAATTGTTCTAAAGTTATAATAAATTCATTAGGGTTTAATTGATTTCTTCGTACAAAAACTGATACTTCACCAAATTGTACATTAATAAGATCGATCCATGACATTCATGATCCGCATAGCTTCTCAAAACATTCATATTCAAAAATCATAAAATGTTACAGCTGATACAGACTTAGAAGCTTGTTCAAAGGTGGAAAAATCATCCGAATCAACAAGTCAACTCACTCCAAATGCTTCACATGTAAGTGATTCATAAACACGTGTACACAATTCATTCATCCATTTATCTTTTATACACTATTTACAGGTGGAGTCTCTTCTAACACGAATCTGTGATACAACCTCAATTGCAGAGTTTGAACTGAAAGTAAGTAGTAACAAATTTTGTAACAACGAATAACCCTTTTTTATCTAAGTATTATCATGAAATTCTTATATTCTTTTTGTTGTTGATAACTATTATCAGCTTGGTGGATTCCGGTTATATGTACTGAGGGACTTGACCGGAAAAAGTTTGATTCCTCCACCACCACCTCCGGTCAACGGTGTAACTGTGGAGTCAACTGAACAAAATGGGTCATCATCATCATCATCATCATCATCATCATCATCCTCTCTAGCCATTACTAAAGCTGCACCTAGTTCTGGTGGGATTCAGAGTTTTCTTGATACAGCTGCAGATGATGGATTGATTATAATTCAGTCTCCCAGGGTGAGTAAAACAATATATATTTTTTATAATTTATAACGGGTAAGTCTTTTTTTTTTTTTATAAAATTTGAAACTTGGTTAAAAAAAAATAGGTTGGGTACTTCAAAAGATCACGCACCATTAAGGGGAAGCGAGCACCTCCATCATGCAAAGAGGTAATATACTGTTGTGTGAATCTTCACCCATAAAATAAAATAATCATATTTTTTAAAGTTTTAAATATCATTTGTTGTATTTAATAATATTTGCATCATTATTTTAACAGAAGCAAATCGTAAAGGAAGGGCAAGTTATTTGTTATGTCGAGCAGCTTGGTGGAGAGCTTCCCATTGAGGTTTATTTATTGGCAACTATTTCTTTTTTAGACTGAATGAATGGTTTGACCATGAAGAAAATGACCATTTTACCCTTTTGTTTAGAACTGACATTGAATAGTAATTGATCTTCTATTTGATGACCTTTAGAAATCGAAATTGTAAGTGGACCATAATTTAAAAAAACATGATTAATAACTTTAGATTGAACATAAGATTTAGTAAGGTAAGGTCAAATACACAAGTCAAATCCAAATATTTGTTACCATTGATTTGAATATGTTTATAATGAAAACAAAATAAGGATAGAGTTTGTTTAATGGGTAGAAATGAGTTCTTAATAGATAAAGATATCTTACTCTTAGTTAACCCAATAAGCCCATTTGTTTATATAAAGTCAAAAAGAAACACCACTATATAATATATGAGAAAACGTAAGTAAGAAATAAATGATGACAAATTATAAAAAGAAACAACAGCTGACACTTTTCTTTTATGTTTTTTTTTTTTTCAGTCTGATGTAGGTGGAGAAGTTATTAAGATACTTCGTGATGATGGTGGTATGTATAACTTATTTTTATTAAATACAACTAATATTAGTTATTTTTTTAATATATGTTTTATTTATATGAACAGAACCCGTGGGATATGGTGATGCTTTGATTGCAATCCTTCCTTCATTTCCTGGAATCAAGAAGCTTCAGTAGGTGTGGTGTGGTGTGTCACTCTGTTTTTTCTTCATTTGTTGAGATTGGATGATTGAAGTACTCATACATGCATATAATTAAATCCATCAAAAAAGCAAGAGAATCTTTGAACTACCATTTTTAGGAAGAATATTTTTTTTTTTTTTTTAAAATATATATTTATGGCCTGTATGACTGAGCTCACATCTAATAAAGGTGTAAATTGAGACCTTTTTTGGAGTTTCATTTTCAAATTTCAAGATTTTGCATACATGAGAAGGTAAATGGTAAATGACAGTGTCCTATAGCTTGGCGAACATGTCACCACCTATATCTATATAAATTACTATATTTTTAACTTTTAACTGTTGTGGATAAATTATGTTTAAAAATATTAGAGAAAATAACACATGGGAAACTTGGAATAAAAGTATAAATCAGGGAAAAGTTGTAAAGTGCTAGGTTGTAGTTTTTATCAAGTAAAAAGCAGATAATGTTTGTTGTGGAAATTATTATGTGACATTGAATAATTAGACCATCCGTTATACCCACCACATACCACTTATGTGGTGGGTGCCACATCAGTACCACATTCCACTACTACTAACATGAGATACTTACCACTAAACACACCACTCCATCTCATTTTTTTTATTTAAATTTAATTCAAAAATGCATTAAAAACATTTTTTTAATACTAGTTTTTCCATTAAATTAGAATACCAAATTACATTAAATAAAAACTAAATTAATTGAAATTAAAAAATAAAATAAAAATAACAATCAAAATAAAATTTACATTAGTTAAATTTAAAAAAAAAATTAAAAAAAACATTAAAAAAAACTAAAAATTCCAACCATAAATAAAATAAACTACCCCCTACGCCTACGTCGGGCTCGAACCGACTCTTTCATTGCTCGGAAAAGTTCCAAGTCTTCGCCCTCAAGGTCGTCCACTTTCATTTTCAGGATTTCTATATCGGTTTTTGTTTGGAGGGTCTCTTGTGCCTCT